GCTGTAAAGATATCGAGTTTCCTTAAAAAAAAACCCAAAATAAATAAAGAAAACATATGAGGTTCACAGGGGACTACGGCCCCATGAGGGGTTCTTGGTATGCTGAGGCCTTCAGTCATGTTTGAATGATCTGCGCTGGAGTCTGTGTAGAAGCCTAACATTTACAAGAGCTGTGCAGTGTCCCTAAAGCAAGAGATTAAGATACACATCAGGACTCCCCCCACCCCACAAAAAAATTCTCAGCCTCTGATCTCTATTCATTGCTAAAACATCCTTGTTTCTCTAAGGCAGGGTTTCTCAACCTTGGTGACTTTTAAGTCCTGTGGACTTCAACTCCCAGAAGTTGAAGTCCACAGGACTTAAAAGTCGCCAAGGTTGAGAAACAGTGCTCTAAGATCTCTGGCTGTTTTTTGGATTTGGTTTTGCTCTCTGGAGTTTCCTGACTCACTCAGCCAAAGCCTTCCTTCCAAGACAGTATAGAGTTTGAAATACCGTATATATCTTGGGGAGCCGAGTTCTTCCTCTGCTGCAGAAGCGGATGTGCGGCCTTCCACCTCCCCATACTTGGCAGCTCTCCTCAAGCACAAAGCCCTCTCCAAAGCCCATCCCCCCCACCAACCCAGGGCCTCACGCCAAGGCCAGGACGACTTCCTTTTTCTGCTCCAACTTCATATATACGAAGGACAAATAGGTACTAAAGCCCCACAGAAGTTGGGGAGGAGGGGGAAAAGTGTCGACCCCAACGTATGTAAGCTTATCTACAGCTTCTTTTGGCTCAATGGCTAAGACGCTGAGCTTGTCGATCAGAAAGGACGGCAGTTTGGCGGTTCGAAGCCCTAGCACCGCGTAACGGAGTGAACTCCTGTTACTTGCCCCAGCATCTGCCAACCTAGCAGTTCAAAAGCATGTAAAAAAGCAAGTAGAAAAAAGCATTTAGTCATGCTGGCCACATGACCACGGAGACATCTTCAGACAGCACTGGCTCTTCGGCATTGAAACGGAGATGAGCACTGCCCCCTAGAGGCGGGAACAACTAGCACGCATGTGTGAGGGGAACCTTTACTTTTACCTTTACCTCTTCTTTAGCAGTTAGTAGCAGCAGCATACTCTCAGCTACATACAATGGTGAGTCTTTTACCCATTTCAATGAAGTGTTCGCTCTTCATCTATTTACCTGCATTTGTAACCCTTCAAAATGCCCCTCCAAACTCTTGTATTCCCATGGCTGCCAGGACATTGCAATCTAGGTCGAACTGCAGGGTTCTCTCTTCTTTCCTGCACTTTGTTTTATTATTTATTTATTTGTTGTGGTTTTGAGTCAGTTCTTGACCTTGGCAACTGCTTGGACAAGTCCCTGCTTTTTTGGGAGTGGGGGTGGGGGCAAGATTTCAGAAGTGGTTTGCCATTTCTTTCTTCTTAGGGCTGAGCGAGGGGGACTGGCCCTAGGTTGCTAGCTGGCTTTGTGTCCAAGGCAGGACTAGAACTCACAATTTCTCAGTTTTTAGCCTGGTGCCTCAACTACTAAATCAGGCTGGCTCTGGCTTAATTTTAATAATGCCCATTCAATTCTGCAAAGAGCTCTGAGAATATACGCCTTGTATTCTTATGTGCCACTGTTTTTTTGAAGCAGTAAAACTGAATCCTAGGGAGCAATCTCCCCAGTTACAAAGCGACCGAGACGAAACCCACCCATCCAGAATGGAAGGACGGGGCATAATGTCTCAAATAAAAGACAAATTAAAGCATTGCGAAATGTCATAAGCCATCCCCCAAAGCAACGCATAAAAAGGTCAAATAAATCATCATCCAGCTCACTGAATAATCCCCTCAAGGGCCTGTGCATCAGAGTGCAGCAATACGAAGGTGGAAATTCAGCCATAAATGGAAGCAGAATTTATATGCAAACCGCAGATGCCCAAATCTCAGCCCTCGGAACCCCTCGGTCCTGCAGGCCAACAGCTGCACCTTCAGGTTTTCTTCCCTCCAGCCTGACATTCCTTAAATCTCTCTTTTTTAGAATCCTCTTACATGCTTGGGCCACACGACACACTAAATCACAGGGTACTTTGTTAGCTTAGATCAGCGCCTCATGTTCCACACACCATAGTTTGTAAATTATGGCTAAGCATGCCACGCATTGTTGAAGAAAACGTGGTGAAATCAATAGCAGTTTAGCAATAGCAATAGCAGTTAGACTTATATACCGCTTCATAGGACTTTCATCCCTCTCTAAGCGGTTTACAGAGTCAGCATATCGCCCCCACAATCTGGGTCCTCATTTTACCCACCTCGGA